AAGACTGCAATGTTTCCTTTCATCCTCCTCGTTATCCCTGTTAGATAAGTTTGCCTATTTTTTCTTTTGTTGATTTCAGACAAGCCATTAGTGTTTTGCTTTGTTTACCCCCGCTCATGATTGCCTTAGATGTTTTCCAGCAGCAGCTCTGCTCCAAATGGAGGCAAGCCCTGTAATGCCTGTAATAGATTGTGACAGGTAATCCAAACACATAACATTAGAATAAGAAGCAGTCACTGATCCAGCCAACTCAAAAAGCCCCCGCAGGCAATTGCAAGAAGTCTTCTTACAGTTGCAGCATAGTTCAGAAGACTACAAATATTTCTGTCATTCCATAGAGAAATTCCCGAGGATGTAGTTGAAACTCCAGTGTCACTAACGGTCAAATCATTTTTAGCTACTTTCCAGATTATTCTACAACAGTTTTGTTATATTTTGTGTATTTTATTCCATGTTGAAGTTGTGTTTTGGTTGAGGTGAAACTGAAAGGATGTAGATAAGTAAATGAGTGAGGTCTCAGACTGCTGAGCAGATACTCTGACTGATGCTTCCTCTGATAAAAAAAAATCAGAACCATTCTTATCATCTTTTATGTGGTACATGTTTAAAATATGGAAATAGACTTTAATTCTAAAAGAAGAAAATTACCTTTTTGTTTGAGATACTGCCTGATGTGATTTTGATGAATAATGCATGAAGAATGAACTACTGTAAATCCAAGCGCGCTGAAAAGTAGGAGGTGAAGAGTGCACCGCTTTATGAAAGTTGTCTTACAGACAATACATTGCTTCTTAGTTCTCACTGCGTTTCTCTTAGAGGGAAGTCTCTGCTATTGATGTGTGGCTTTCAAAAGGATTGTCTCGGGTCAAGGTGAGAATGAACTCAGAAACTCAAATCCAAAGTGTAGGAAGGGAGAGAATGTCTCGGAGCACAGTCAGAATTACTCGTCATTGATGATTATTTCCACTTAACTTCTGACTGCAGCTAGACAAAGACATAACTTTGTGTTGTTACAGGCTCTTTGCTAAGTTGGCTGCTCACTGTTCTGAACTTACATGTCTGCCCACAGGTGAAAGGACCAGAGAAGACCCTGCAGGAGAGACGCTCCAGCCTGGACGCGGAGATCGACTCCCTCACCAGCATCCTGGCAGACCTGGAGAGCAGCTCGCCCTACAAGCCCCGGGTCGCTCAGGTGTGAGCCAACACACTTTTACACCATGCAAATCAGAAACTGTATTTGAGAAGTTGATGTACTCACTGTGACGTCAACAGGCCAGTTTGTTGCTTCTTCTTTTTTTTTAGCAACAAGCGACAATATATCCATAAGAGGATTGTGAGGCCTGGTACTGTTAGCATGATAATGCTAGGTTAGCAGCTAAGGCTTTTGCTAGCTATCTAGTTTGGTAAGCAGCATGCACTGGGGTGTATGGAGAGCGACTCAGAGCCAGCCCGAAGTGGCCACTCAATGAACTGCAGTAGGGCTCCCCCCAAATAGTCGACTAAACCAACTCAACTGGTGGGTCGCGGACCCGTTTGAAGTGGGTCGCGGATGTGTGAGTGAAGAAAAAAAAATTGAAATTTATTTTGGGAATCTTTTCTTCTTTTTTCTTTTGGTAAAAAAAGTCTAACTTTTATTTTGAAGGCCCGATTTTCTGACGCTGTGCATGCAGTAGGCGTTGGACTGGAAGTACCGGAGACCATAAACGGCTTTGAAAACTTCTGTCATGTAGTGATCATCTACTCAATAAAACATCTTTGCTGATGTTTTTTCGAGTCTTCTGGCCAATCAGAATCAAGATTGTTGCCGGAAGTCCCCACGGAGAATAACTTTGCAGTAGAACTATTCTTTATACATCCATGGGTACAACTTAAGATAAAAATGAACACATAATGAAATATGACCCCCGGTTTGATGATTGACAGGTCACAGAACAATGGAGGCTATCTACCCTTACCCACAATTTAAAGTAATTCACACAGACACAGACAAAACACACAGACAAAAATGTAATGCATTATATTATATTATTATATTATTATTAT